AAGGTTTCCAGATGGATATGCGGAGCAAATCCATCTGGCGGAGTCAGGTTAGGGGTAACCCAACAATATGGAAAAGCTTTTAGATAAGTTTTTATTTGGTCTTGCGCCTGCTACACGGCCTCTCTCTTAAAGACTTGGTCTAGATCAGGGGTCTGCAACTTGCAGCTCCAAAGCCAGAAGTGGTTCTTTGGACCCTCTATAATGTCCCCCTAAAGTTATAAAGAACCAACAAAAGGTTTTTAAATATGGTATGTTAACATACGCCCGTGTTGGAAGTTTAGTAGGTTTTCCAAAGAATTACTAAGTTGAATTTTCCCTACAGAATTACATTAAAAGGACCAATAATATGCTAATGTGATCTTTTTTCTTGTCCCACCTTGAAAACTATGATTTTCTTTTACATAATGTGTTACAAATATTAACACCCTATGAAAGAAAATCCATTAGTTTAATGTTTTTCCCTATTTCAAAGCCTTAAAGTAGAAATAAAGGACAACCGATTTTCTATAGTAGATAGTTAAAAGCTTGTGTTACATTTATGGCTCTAAACCACTTTAATTTGACTGGACTCAGGATGATCTATGCTAAAACATTACTATAAGCATTTTTTGCTGAAAACCTAAAAGAAAAATAATTAAATTAAATCATCTAAATGAAATACATTTTATTCTATAATATCAATCTGTTTAGGAACCCTGAATGTTGCTCAGGTCGTGTTTCTTCGCCTGATAATGAGAATGAAAAACATTTGTGTAAAATCTGTGGAAGAGAAAGGAGCTTTACTTGGCAACACCCAAACAGAACTCGTTTGTCCTGGAGCGTCGGGTTGGACTGGCAGAAGCCACCAGGAAACTGAGGCAGGCGTGGGCCAAGACACTTAAGCGCTTCTCACACATCAGTGCTGATGTCTTTGCAGTTTGATGCTCATCCGTATGCGCTTTTTGTTTATCTTTCCAGGGTTTTAATATCATTCAGGCATTGGTGGCACAATCATGGCTGGTACTCTGGGCTCCCACATGTACGCTGCCATTTAATATTCTTTAGAGTGTGTGTTGCAGAAGGGCAGCAGAGCGTGCACAAATAGGGGAATCCTTCTCCAGCCGCAGATATAACCATCATCATGTCTTATTCATTGAGGCGCGGTTGGAGTGCAACACAGTTAAATACGCATGCTGTGCTCTAACTGAAAAATACGGAAGAGGAGTAGGGCCAGTGGGGAAAAAAAAAAAAAGTTGACTGATTTTTAAATTTTATTTCAGTTTAGTATGGGAAAAAAGTCAGAATTCTGACTTTAATCCCCTCATCACAACGCAATCGGATCCATCCCCTCTGTTCTACTTTACATCAAAGAAACAAAGAAAACCTTTGATGAATCATATTATTTTCCACTCAGCGTATGACTGGAGGGGAGAGAGAGAGAAATGAGTCTGAAAGCCCAGCTGGGCTTAAAGTGGAGGAGGCCAGCTGATCCCAGGCCAGGCCGCGCTCTCAAGGTCTCTACAGTGAAACATGCTGAAGCAGACAAAGCAGGCGGAGGGAGACCGAAGTAGAAAGCAGTGAAAACAAAGAAAGCTGCGTGTAACATTAAAGTTTTAAAGCTCTCGTATGATTAAACTTAGAGCGCCAATCGAATCAAAAGCCACTTCTGCTTGAAAGAGCATCAGTCCAATAGAACAAACGCTGTGTTGCTTTAAGAAACACTCTGCTGTGGCATTGACCCACTTGCTGACTAAATCATGAAACATAAATTTCACAGCAATGAAATGCCTCCCTAGTTAATGCATATATTACAATTGGGAATGAAGACATTGTTCACCATCTCAGCCTTTGAGTTTGCTTTGTTTTAATGTTTAATGAAGTGATACTGTTGTCAATTATGGCTGCGCAATGCAATGCTCTCATGGCTAAACAAAGAAATCCCTCTTAAGGGCCTTACCTCAGCCAGTTGCTTCTCTTTTAGATGCAGAGTTCCTCGCCAGCGTATTTTAATTTATCCCTGCTAGACTGATATTCAGGCTGCCACACTTATTTTTTTAAGATGCATTGTCCCTTTGACTGACATCTGGGCTCCCTTCCCCTAAGGCTCTGTCCAGCGCATTTTAGCACCACAGGTTACGCAGAAAGTTGTCCAAATACGGTGAAATCGGGCCAATGGACTTTTAAAGACAGTAACGGATGCAGAAACTGTGTATTTATACACATTTACATCCTTATTTAGACATATAAATAAGAAAAA